GGGTGGGACTGTCGAAGTGGGTGGAACTGGGATCTGGAGTGGGTGGGGCTAGGACTGAGGATGGGTGGGGCTCAGTCAAACAGTGGGAGGGATGGGATCCAGAAGGGGTGGTGCTACTTCAAAGAGTGGGTGGGGCTAGGAGTGAGATGGGTGGGGCTACATCAAACAGGAGGAGGGGTGATCCCCTGAATGGGCGGGGCTATGTTAACAAGCCAGAAAGAAGAAGAAAAGACTCACTTCTACGTGGAGATACGTTACGGTGATGAGGAGTTTGCAAAGCCAGTGGGTGCCACCCGCGATCACGAAGGCCGTGGACCGAGAGGACTGCAGGAAAAACTCAGCCACCAGCACGCTGGGCACCGGGCCTGGTTGCAAAGACAGGAGGCCCGCCCTTGAACCCTTCCGGCTGGAGTGTGACTGGAAGGGGTCCGAGGGCCCAAAGCCAGGCGCGAGTTCGAAACAGACACGCTCTGAGATGGCAACCCCCTGGAACGGTTCGGCGCTGGGATACTCACCGGGGCCGGTAGCATATCCGATCAGGAAGATGGTCAGAAAGGACGCGCTCAGATACGACAAGGCGGGGATGTTTTTCTGCAGGAGAAAGAGCGGGCGTGGATTGCTCAGCGTGGACGGACCACTTGAAAAATATCCTTGCTCTATCACCTGCAGCCGTTCGAGGACTCGGTGAAGCGTCAGCGTATGCCACCGGAGTTGGGCGGCCCATAAACTTGGATAAATGAATGATCTGTTTCTAAAAAAAAGCATTCTGCATTTTCGCCCGTCCCCAAAAGCTGACGTGAATGTTGCAGAACTCAATCAAGAGCGGCGTCTGCCTGTCTGCCTTCAAGCCAAATCGGAAACTATGTTTTTATGGACTTATTTATCGTACTTATATCGCCGCCCCTCGTACATAAGGTGGCTCTTTAAGCAAAGCACAGAGAAGGGAGTTGTGTGGAAGCAAAGCTAGCAAAGGGGTTAGCAAAGTAACCCAGTTCGCGACGGCCGGAGAAAAAGAGGTTTTGGCTGCCAAAGTGGCCTTAAAAATCACCGACCTGAAGCTCCAGGGACATCGTCAGAAAGATGCAGGAGATGCTGCAAATGCTGAAGCCGGTGAGAAGCAGGATCCGTCGTCCCGAAGACTCAACAATGCTGATCTAGAAATTTAAAAAGTGCGGCAGCGGTGAGGAGCGTCAGACCCGGGCGGGGGCACCTAAATCTGTCCGTGCTTCCCCCGTGGAAATCCACCGGCACCATTTGGCAGCCGTTACGAACTTAGTTAATGCTGTTCCACCCTCCCAAATTACACGAAACCCTTTTTAATCCGTAAATCCAGAGATCGTCCGTTCGTTTTCGTCCGTTCTCAGCCAAAAAAAGGTCCATGACGCTTGGAGAAAGATACCATCGGGCATTGGCGATGGTTAAAGGAGCCGCATGGCTATTCCGACTTTCTCTCCTTCACCTGATTATTGCCCCCCCAGGATGGAAAAAAGAGGGCCTCCGTCTCGTCCCCAGCCCAAGCGTGGGAGGGAAGGCGCGAGAAGACCGCCGAGGTCACGGTTGCCCCAGCGTCTTACCACCAGCGTGGTGATGACCATCAGGAAGAGAGATAACGCCAGGCTGATGTACCAGATGGTCATTCTGCTGACCCCCGAGGACAGGTAGATCTGCTTCGCATAATGTTGGGCCTGCCATGAGAACAAAGACCCTCTTTCGCCAAGCGGTTCCAGGCATGGCGTTCGCGCCTTCCTTGAATTGCAAGACGCAGAACACGCCTCTGGCCTCCTCCGGTTGGACCACCTAGGGCAGTGTTTCTCCACCTTGTCAACTTGAAGATGTGTGGACTTCAACTCCCAGAATTCCCCCGCCCCCCTGGGGGGGTTTTGGGGTTTTGGTCCCCACCACTTTCACTTTTACAGGTGGGGGAAAAAGGAGGAATGGGGGGTTGGGAGAGCAGACCGCCC